AACAAAAACTAACCTCCCGTTATGCCAGGAGTCAAGACTCTGGCATTTGGCCCTGAGGCAGAGGAGGCTCCACTCCTTTGAGATCCCTGTTGTCTGCAGAGTTCAGGGTCACTCCTCCCCCTCCACCACCGTTTGCCTCAGCCATCAGGTCCAGCTCCACCATAGCTGGTACTTTGCTTAGAAGGCAGCCCTGCAGGAAAGGAGGCGGTGGTCCTTTTCTATCTGCCCAGCTGAGTCACCCAGGCACTTTCTCCAAATTGATTCACATCTAAATTCTGGTCAGCTGTTGACTGATGAGCCTGTTCTTCAGGCTTTTAAGAGGAAATGTCAGGGATGAGAATTCTGACGTCAACAGTTCTGTGCATAAGAGACCGTCCTGCAGACGGTGAGCGATGCCATTAGGTCTTCGCAGTGAGAGTGGGGGCAGGAAGAAAGGTGGAATCAAAAAGTGCAGATCAAACAGTGCTGGAATGGGGCCACCTGTGTGGGTCAAGAGCTCTTACATTTACCTGCATGTGCTGATGTAAAAACCAGTGTTTTGAGTGTATGCACAGCCTATCTATACATGATCGGGGAGCTCAAGAAGTCACACATGGGGAAGGGGTCAGAGCCTCATCGGGCTCAAGCATCTTCCTTTCAGCGATTGCTGCATTGTCTTTCTTCGCTCCATGCTCACGGACCACTTGATGGTTCCCTTGCGAAAGGGTGGGAAGGATGAGGTGTTCTTATGGGTTGCTGGCAAGCGAGGCAGGCTGTTGAGTCAGCTGGCTTCCACCCCCACTCCTGGGCGGGGGCCAGCTACTCCCCCCCCTGCACTGAGCCACCGCAGTCCCACGGTCTTCCTCAGCCAGTGGGATCGTGTCTTTCTCCATCACCCACGACGCACCAATCCCGTTCATGGGCTTTATGCAACCAAGCCTGGAATCGTCTTGATTGGAGGTGGACCTGTTCAGGTGCCACGGTACCTCTCACCTTCCCCCATGCTTTGCCCTTCTTTGCCGAGCTAGGCAAGTCACACCTCCTACGGGCAAGGAGCCCGAGATGTGCAGCCTTCGCGGAGGCGCCAAGAGGCATATGTTCCCTCTCTTCCGCTGCACCATAATCAGTACACGTGACCAAGGAATTGTCGTTGGTGTCCAGTCGCAGCCTCGTGCCCCATGGACCACAGCACGTCAGGCCTCCTGTCCTCCACCACGTCCCAGAGTTCACCCAAGTTCATGTTCATTGTATCAGGGACACTATCTAACCATCTCATCCTCTGCCACCCCCTTCTCCTTTTGCCGCGTTTCCCACTTTTCTGAAGAGACCGGTGATCGCAAGCTACTTTTGTTGCCTGTGAGCCAAATTACACCTGTGGAATTTTGTGCTGCCGGACAGCGCCAGCTCCATCTTTTGAGGGCCCCCGGGCAAGGCCCCTTCAGTGGGCCAACTCCCTCAAGCAAGCCCACCTTCTCACTATCATTGCCACCAGCTTCTGTTACTCCTGCTCCTCCTCTCAGCAGGCAGGGGACCCAAATCTGCAATGACGAAGAGGAGGAGCAAGCCCAGGAGGCTCTTGGCAGGGCCGGGTGTGGGTCCTTAACAAGTGTCCCATCACGCCTATCCTAATTGTCAACCTTGGAAGCTTGGTTCCTATGGTGGGGAGACGGCCGCTACCCCCTTTCATCCTATTGCTATCCTAATGGCAGAAAGAAAATAGCATTCTGTGCTGAACGCATTTCTCATACGACATAGAGCCAGATGGGTGGGTTGTAAGCACAGAAGAGGAACCATGTCATACGGCTTTTCTGTTCACTTCTGCCCAGCCAGAACAAGGGGATGAAAGTAGGCAAGGCAATCAATGCAACGATCCACTGTTCCAATGAATGCCCATTTCCCAAAGTGTGCTTCCTTGCTTCAAGAGCTGTTCCCTGTCCAAATCTTTCATCTTCCTTCACCTCATCTGAATTTATGTTTGATTCTTTCTTGTGTTAAATGTCATTCTGCAACCCTCTTGTCTTCAAAGATTATTCACCATCAGCTGGCTCTGTTATTTTTACCTACCAACCATTTTCTATATGGCGTAACCAGGCCTTTGTGCCAATCATATACTATATTGCCGTTCGCAAGTCAAAGCTCCAGAGAGAGGCCTGTATTCATATCCTCCAGACCTGCAGCAACACTGCAAGGAATCAGAGATCACTAGCCGGTTAACAACGCCCCAAGGACCCTAACAAAGGGATGGAACACTTACAGGGTTTTGCAAAGAAACCTACCAGAGTTACCTGCCCTCAGAGCCAAACTACCTATATATGCACAGCCATTGGCTCTCCTTTCCCTGGGACCCAATTTTTCTGGGTAATATTTTAAGACAGGTAGGTAGAAACCCATGAGCTAAGCTTTAAGGTTATAAGCTGGCAGGCAGTGATACAGCCTGGGCTGAGCTCAGGACCCAAGTCCAGGACCCCTGCAGCCTGGGAGGGAGGGAATCCACCATCCAGAGATGGAGGCGGTGACCATCTGTCAGCAACTGGCATCTTCAGACAAGGTCCACACAGGCTGATGCTGTTCACTCATATTGTTGCTGATGGAACAAAGATGCAGGATGCTAATGTTGTATCCTCCTTATTTTTAAACATTTTCAGGTTAGTGTGCAAACGCTTGGGCATGCACATGTACAGATCCTCATGTTATGGTTTTACTTTAAATATAATTATTCTGCGCATGATTCCTTATGCATGGGTTGTTCTGAGGATGCTGTGAATCTCCAGTTTCACACCTGTCTTTTGAGGGCACTTTCTCAGGGAGGTTTAGGCAGGGAAAGGGGGCTACTATTTCTGAAAGTGAAAGAAAGGCTATTTTCCTACCTGTGTAATTGTGCCATTCCACTCTAGCTCAGCGCCACGTAGCAGTTATGCAGTCGAAAAGAAACGCACTTTGAGCAGAGCTTGAAGCTCATTTCTTCACCAGAGTTACAGAGCTGAGAGCATGTACAGCAGTTAACATGCGGGAAACTCCGCATTTATCCACAGTGGAAAACACTGTAACCAGGTGACCATCTTGCCTACCTCAATTTGCTGTCCAGGTGGGGTTGACGGGCAACCTTAAGGCCTACTCTCCCTTGTAAGGTTTATTTTTAGCCTGGACTTGGGATGGACAGTCCTTCAAACAGAGGCTGCCTTCTCCGGGGGCACTGTCTTCTAGAAAAGAGTTCTGTCCGCTGTTACTCCAACTTGACTCCCATTCATTTCAGTGAACCTGCTATAAGGAGGGCAAAATAGGACATGACTCCAGGCACCCTCCAGAAGCGCTGGACTGTGACACCGATCATTGCCACCCATGGTCGGCCATGCTGCCTGGAGGTGATGGGAATTGCAGTCCAACTCTTCTTGAGGAAAGCTCCACTGAGGTGCATGGAAGCTACTGCCGTGTGTGTCGACCGGCATAAAAAGAGCTGTTTCTGCATCCTTCACTCCGATGTCACAAATGCAAGTGAGGACTCCAGCAAAGTCTTTCCTTCTGCGGGATTTGCGTTAATGAGCTCTATTAGAAATAGGCAGCCAGATGGGTGAAGGGTTGTCAACTTGATGACTTCAGCTCCTTACTCTGTTTTTTGAAGTTGCCACGGCAACTGGCCTAGTAATGACATTGGATCTTGCTAAATCCCCAACTAGGACACCCAGTTGCTTAGCTACTCTCCATGTCAATGACATTTCTCTAGATGACTCACCGTATAAGGATAATGCAAGGCAAATACTGTGCACTCATATTCAGATCACAGCTGGTGGTCATATACACGTCGTGGAGATTGGAAACTGAGCCAGCTGACGGTGGTTCTGTTTTCTTTTTACTTTCCCAAAAATGAGGTAGGAAATCGCAGCTAGCAAAATTTGGCTCTTGAGCATATATTCTGCACTTTTAGAAGCAATTTAGGGGCTCATTACATTGCATTTATACCCCATCTTTTTCACTCTTGCAAAGAACTCAAGGTGGCTTACATAATTCACCACCACTCCATGTTTATCTTCACAACAGCTCTTGGTGGTGGATTAGGCTGAGAGTGCAATGGAGTTCTTTCAAAGTTCTCCCTAAAACTATTCCACCTCATTCCCATTCCTGAACACAAGCATCCTTTTTTTTTCAAATGGGGAATGTGTGCATTTTTACAAGCATGGATCCAAATGTATGAGCTCCCCCTGCCTACGAAAGCTACTGCCATGGGTCCATTTTGGGGTTCCAAGCAAAGCTGTCATTATCCTAAGGACAGAAGATTGGAGAACAATGCCACAAAGTCACAAATCAAAGCAGCTTCCCAAACCAAGCTGTGGGAACCAATTCAAGCAGAATACATTTCTCTCTTTTTTGCAGCAGCTTAATGCTGTCTTAATGATGATTATTTCATGCATATTTGCTCATTGTGCTAATTATATGCATTTAACATGGTGTACTTAATTATAATCACGGTGTTCATCACCACTGTGGCACGTCCAGCAAAAGAGGAAAGCCCAAAATTACCCCCCCCCAAAAAAACAGCATTACCAAAAATATATTTTTTTAAAAAACTGCATCCTCTGCTTCTGCTTCCAGGAAGGAAACCTGAGAAGAAGCATTTTGGCCTTTTAGAATGGGAAAAGAGAGCAAGAAGCCAGGAAACCCCAAACTAGTAGTGATCAGGGAAAGCAAAATGTGGTTAGTTATGGGACCCTGAAAGGCCAAACAGGGATGCGTAGAGGGTGCTATAAATATCCCTGAACTTCTGCACCCCTGAAATTTATAGAATTTATAGAATTTGGGAGCATTTCATTGTGGCATCTAGGTTTTTGGTTTTCCTTTCTTTGGAATATATTCATAAATCAACAGCATATTGGAATATATTAATAAATCAACAACCTTATCACAGAAGCTCAAATTGCTTTTTCAGAGTGTGAAAATCTACTTTGATGGTGCAAGAAAAGCAAGGCATGGATCCGTCAAGTCCCACTTTTGTTTAGGAATGAGTGTTTTCTATTTTTGCTTTCCAGAAAACCTGGATGCAATGATAGCACTGCAGACGAGAAAGAAACTTGAAACGCCCAGTGCCAGAAACAAACTGCCATCAGGTATTTCACGCTCATGATAATTCTCGTTGTTCCTATCACAACTTATTTATTTTGTACCACCAACAAGAAGACAGAGAAGCATGGGAGCTAGAACCTTCAGGATTTGGCGATGGTTCCTCTGCTGGAGTGTTGCTCTTGGCAGATTCCAAGCTCTTGATACCAGCCCAATCCATAAGCTAACTAAAATTCAGTCTCCAACAGAGTGGATCTCAGACAGAAAGGCTCACCTTCAAAATCTTTAGCCTGAGGACTGTGGAAAGATACTGCCAGTGAAGGGTGGCCATAATCACTTTTAAATGGCTACTATACAATTCCTGCAGAATCAGGTAGCCTCCCAACGGTGTTAAAGTTCCATGCAACAGATAACAAGTAAGAAAATGTTATAATGATGTGCATTGGAAAACACTGTGGTCCAGATAATGCAAGGAGATGCTCTGCTTGTGATCTCTAGACAAGAGCAATGAAGAGGCCGATAGTACCAAATCCTCGGCAGCTAAAATGGAAAAAGAGTATGAAATGCTGAAGGACTCCACCAAAGCTGAAGAGCAAAATACAGGGAATGAGGAAGAGCCAAAAGGTAACAATTTAAGGTGGCTATGCTGCTTCTAGGATGTGCCGTTGAGCCCACAGAGATTCCCAGTCTGGCTGGTGGTGGCTTGGGCTCTCTTGATGGGTTCCAGCTACTTCCCTCTCCAAGCCCCGTCCATTCCTCTGGCCTGGGGTCCATTAGAGGCATCTTTCAGGTCCTGGGGGGCTTTGCCTGAGCAATGGCAACTGCCCTCATGATTCTTTCAGGTTCCCCACTCCCCCTTGTCAGCAATCTCCAGGCAAGCTGCAACATGATCTACCCTATATCTGCTTGGGCAGAGCTCCTTGGAGGGAGGGGTGGGCCACAAACACAGAAAAATAAACCAGTCCTAAGACTATCACATCAGGTGATCGATTAATGTTGTTATCCTTAATCAGGAGGAAACAGGAAAGCACCCTGTGCATTTGGCACACTTTAACAAGGGCTCCTATATAGGATTTAGAACCAATCAAGCCATTAACTTTCCTTTCAAGCTCAGAATACTACTTTTGCCACCCAAATCCAATACATTCAGTGCCCCACCAGATGCTACAATTTAGCCCTAATGGCATTGCTCCCTTTTTAAAAATGTACAATCATTAGCTAGTTCAATAGTCTGGGTCGGTGATATTGATCAGTCTGCAACGCAAGACATTGTAAAACACACACCAAACGACCGCGAGCCATTTCATGTCCATGAGGCTGCCTGCTGAACAGCTCAGGAGGAAATGCCGATGATGGATGTCCTGTAGACATTCGCTCTTCCCATAAGTTCTTGTGCAGCTTCACATGCTGTGAATTGCTATGAGGCATGGCCTCCGCCATCTTTAATCTACAATTATTCTTTCTAGGGCTGAATAGAATTTACTTCCCTCACTCTCAAACGTTGTTTTTCCTGCCCCATTCTCAGACAACACGCTTTTTCTGATATTTTGGAGTTTTGCAGAGGTCGAGTTATTTGAAAAGTCCAACTTACCTGCTTGATTACCTTTTTTATTACTTAGGTTTAGGGCTACCTTCACTTCAGAGTTTCTCTTGAAGTCATCCTTTCCCAACATGGCCCTCTCCAGATGTCTTGGACTATCACACCCAGAATTTCTAACTACTGGATATGTTGGCTGGGAATAAGAGATGAAGTCAACAAACATCTGGAGGGAACAACACTGGGGAAAGCTGGGTTAAGGCCTAGGTGATAAAGCCAAGTTCATCTGATGTATGGTATTCTCATACTTTATGCTCACGTACTTACCATACCCTATCTAATTCCATGGCTTGACATATGAGTATGTACAGAGGGAATTTGTCTGCTCTCTGCTTCACACCATAAACTAGTTTTCTGTGCTCTCTACACAGATATCTCCCAAATGCTAGCCTTTAATTCACCCTTTCCTCAAATTACTGGCTCATAACAGGATGAAACACGCAGAGCAGACAGTATGAGCTTCCAGAAGGGTAATAACTCTTGTCTCCTCTGACGAATGTGAGCACGTTGTTATCTGTGAAGTTCCAGGAAAGTTCAGAATCCATTAAACTATTATATTTCCCCAGAGTCCATATTAGCTTAGCTTTGAAGCTAATTTCGTCCTGGTTGCCCTGTAGGAAAAATGACAGTATTTACTTTTGACTTTAAAACATACCTTTTTATACAGACAGGAAAGTTATAGTTATTAATTTCATTATGGTTATTCTAAAATACATTTTAACACCTTGGAAAATGCAGCTATATGCATTTCCTCATATAGGTCTTACTTTCCTTGTGCAAACAATTCACTTTCATATGGTATCATTTCAAATTAATCCAGCAAGAAAGCAACCAAAGGTGGAGGGCTGCAAAGAGAGATTGGTGGGTGTCCCACTGGAGTTGCCCTTGGTAGATCTAACTGAAAATCCAGGGAAGGAGCTGACACCAAGGTTTGTTTCACAGTGGGTGCCTTCATTTAGGATTTTTGGTTTTCTTTTTTTACCTATGTAACAATTGAAGGATTACCCCATAAAACTAAGATCAATGGTAAATTGAACTGAATTCACACTGTTACAGAAGATTGCATATCAACCAATAACAGGCCTAGAGGCATGATCAGGGGAGGCAAGATAAGCCATGGGGGCTCTTTCCCCACCACACAAGCTGGTCATGTGCTGTGGGGGGACCGGGGGTGGGGGAATTATCCTTGTCTGCCCAGCTTGTCGTGTCGTGCAAACTTCACAGGGGTGGCTTGTTGTCATGGTCAACAGTCCACCCAGAACCATAACGCACACCGTGGGTCCTGGGTAGCTTGTTAACCATGGCAACAAGCCACCATTGCAAGGTTCACACGGTGCAGAAAGCCATCTGGCAAAGGTTATGGTGATAATCCCCCAGCACCCATGGCAGGGGAAACAAGACTTCTGCTCCAAGATCACAAGAACCCAGGTGATGGATCTAAACTTGCTAGTAAGTGTTTTGACTTGGTTTTCCTTTTATCTTGCCTTTGAAGGGAAGGCTGAGGCATACTTAGAAGCCATCAGGAAGAACATTGAATGGCTGAAGAAACACAACAAGCAGGGAAACAAAGAAGGTAGGTGTGAGAATCATATTGTATCCGGGGGAACATGGAGTGTTTTCATCTCAGAATTTGGCACTATGGTATAAATTCACTTCAGGTTTAGAATTAGGATTTTAGGAAATCCAAGCAATGAGGTACAAAGCCAAGTATCCTAACGTCTGAATGTTGTTCTTCTTAATTTTGTATCATTATATTAATTATAGTTTGGTCTGCAACCTCCATATTATGTGCCCCACCCACACCGTCTAAGGGCTTTACGATTGCCCTCTCAAGATTGTTTAGCTGTTTTGCATTGACCTATATGAATGTTCTTCCAGAAACAGAAGCTTAGGCTCTCCTACCAAAATATTTCTAGCTACAGGCCCAACGTGTAGATTTTTAACACTCTGTAAAGCAAAAGCTAAAAATGAAACAATCTTGAGCATGCGATCCTGTAAAGATGAAGTATAAGGAAAGAAAACTCTTGAAACAGCCTAAATGAAGGGAAACTAGGGTGAGAGACACTGCGGCGAACATACACTGGATTGCGATTTGAATTATTAATCTGTCAGGCTCTGCATACAGTCCCAGGAAACTGTTTCAGCAGTGTTCCTTAGGCATAAATGTTAATTGAGATGACAGATGGAAGATATTACGGATCTTTTTTGCTAATGTGTCTATTATTACACTTTTCTACAGAACTTAAGAAAAATCAGTGAGGAGCTGTATCTTTTAATTGTTAGAGCATCAGGAGACATATTTTGCCAATTAACCCATAATATGCAAGTTCTTCCATTTATATTAGTGCTCATCCACTGGAAAGTCAGACAAAATGCCGAAATGAATGTAAAGTAAATGACGCGAAGGTTTCATTTTGCATTCTATCTGATTAATTAACCAAGCAATTATAAAATTCTCCTAATAGCTGCAGAAAGTGAGTGGTATGACAATAGATCCACAACATCCTGCTCAGAATATATTAATGGAAAGACAGATCTTCAAATTAGAGATTAAAAACAATACAGAATTGCAGAACACTGTGCTCGGGATGGTGTCTCCAGAAGCTTCTCGAACTGGGACAACCCCTCTCTCTCTCTCCTCGTGTTTCTCTGTTTTCTCTACCCCTTTTGTTGTTGTTTTATCCTCTCTTTTTACTGCTCCTTAGAAAAGCGGAGCAGTGGTTTGAAAAGCGTGGAGGGATTAATATCCCGCCCTTTCCACAAAAACGGCAAATTTTGCCTTAACTCCTATAAGCCACCTTCAGCATTGCTATTGGTTAGAAATGCTGGGAAAAGCTCTGAAGCATTTCCTTCCATCCATTCTTGCTCTCGCTCAGCCTTCCAGACTAATTTTCTATGGGTAGTGAGTTCCTAACATCTGAAAATGAGATTCCCCACAACCACCATCAAAACTGGAAGTGATGCAGGCCATTCTGCTTTTGACTGCAGTGTGTGTAAGACAATCCCTAAATACTACAATTCTCAGTGAAACTTACCTCTGATTTAACATGCTTGGCATTGCACTGTAACTCATATTATTTCATTCATTACTTATTTGTTTAAATGATATGTATTTGCTTTTCAGCCCATTGTAGTCCTCAAGGGTTCAAGCGTTCAGATTTTCTTGTTGTGGAACCTTAGCTTGCAATCTGATGGGATGCTTCTTCCCATGATCCACAGCGCTGACAAGAACTGAAAATCATTCTTCAGTCCATTGTGCCTTGACTCCAAAGGGGGCCCTAAGTTTTTAATTCCCATTTTTCAGGTGCATATTTCAAAGAAACTGAGAAACCTGCACGGAGCCCTAGCCTTGCAATTAAACAGCCATGTTTACAGGGAGGATCTGATGCGAACATTGTTTGTGGTATAAATTCATTCTTTTATTCCAGATTATGACCTTTCCAAACTACGAGACTTCATTGATCAACAAGCTGATGCTTATGTGGACAAAGGCATTCTGGAAAAAGAAGAGGCAGATGTGATCAAACGTATCTATGGCAGCCTGTGAAAAACAGAAAAAGGATGTCCCTTTAAGCTTAGAGAATCCTAGTCTAGCTTCTCCCACCTCTAGCTCTATGACCTACAACCTCCTTTCTCCCAACTAGGAGGGTTCTGAGGAAGTATTCTGTCTGCATTTTACTTAATCTTTTCCAGGTTAAAAAAGTCAATAATCCACAATGACTGCATATTCCTTCTTCCAACTTTAATCATCCCACTTAAGGCTGAATTTTGCTGCCTACATTACCACTAACAGGTTAAAATGCCAACACATTCCATAGGGCTTAACGCCAGGATAAGGGAACATTGCAATGCAGCCTAGATCGCTTTTACTTCAGGGTATTAGAGAGCAATCCTACAGGAAAGATATCTGAAAGATATAGGGAAGGAGCAATCACATCTGAGAGCTCTCCATCTGTCCTATGTCCCATCTGCTGGGTCCAGGCAGGCCGGAAGGTGCAGAGACTTGCGCAGTCTCTCTGCCATTTGTTTTATTTTGACCCAGATTTAACTGTCATATTTGCAGGGAGGACCTGATTTAAACACAATTTGTAATATAAATTCATTCTTCTGTTCCTGATGACGACCTTTCTAAACTGCAAGACTTCATTGATCTACAAGCTAATCCTACAAAGGCCTTTTTGTTACACTGAAATAAAAGTTACCTAGGTTGCGATCTGAGACCCCTTTTCCTGGAGTAAGCACCATTGAATGTTCCTTTAGCCTCAACTACAGAAGGAAAGCTGATTTTTTTTCCACAAATCCACCAACTTAAGTATTCAGTGGCTTTTTAGAGATGAGGCTTTATATCATTTGGGAGTGATTTTGGGCAAAGGAAAACAATAATTCAACTGAATATTTGCAATGAAATTTCACATGTAGGTTTCCATGTCCAAGAAGGTGCTGTTTGAATGCATTAGTATACCACAATTTCCTTGCTGTGTGTGCATTCGTATTGTGTCTGTGTGCCATTACGTAGCTGCTGTATGTTCAACGCTGCATCGGCCTTTAAAATAGACCTTACAGGGAGAAAGAAAAGTATTGCCATGGGATTGCTACAGTCAGGTACAGTAGCAACACTATCATTAACACACTCCATCTTTCTTGAGTGTTATTTCTCTGTGCATGTATAAAAATTGGAATTCTTGATATAAGTAGCCTAACAAAACATGTAAATAAGTGTTAATTTCTAAGGAGAAAACAAAACAAAAAAACTGTAAAGACAGGAGCTTAGAATTAGAGCTGTGCTTTGGAGAAAAATGTTTAAAATGAGACTGTCCCATCACTTTGCTAATCAAACCGTGCCCAGTTTGAAGCTGCCTGCTATGGCTATTCTTCACCCTTCCTTTCAAGGTTGAAATGAAAAGGTTTTATTATTTTAAAGGTACCAGCTAGGCTGGCTTTTTTTACAGAAATGAAAAGTATTGCAGAAGTCAATAAGAAAAGAAGCAAGTAAAGTTAGAATACCGGCCACTAGGGAAAAGCAGCATGATGATAAGAAGGTGATTCCCAACTGCATGTCTCACCCCTTCCAAACTGAGATGAGCAACACACTTCCAAGTTTTACCATGTATTTAAGAAAGAATAACCTATCCAATGTGTTTCTATGTCAGTCACTGTCCTGAATACTAGACAAGCATGGCTTTGTCTTTTTAATTACAGGAATTGTAACTTAAAAATGTTTTGGGTGACTGGAAAGAGGCATGAATCTTGTGGCCACACCAAGGGATAACTTACTCTGCAGTCAGCATCAAGAATAGGTGTGTTTGCTTGTTTAAATTATTTCTAACCTGTCTTTCTAGGTACACTATGGTCCAGTGGGGGCTTACAAAGAGTTAAAACACATAGTGCAATTTTAATAAAATTTCCCATCCGGTTCACATATAAATGGCAGCAATAAAAACATTTAGAAGCATGACAAGCATCCCAACACAAACTGGGGTAATACTGTGCCTAACGACCATTTGGAAAGCTAGGGCTGCTTATTTCCCTAAGAAGGAATCTGTAAAGATGAAAAGCCGTTACCAGAACTGCCTCGTCCCTGGTAAATGCCAATCACTATGGAGGGTCAGGAGAAAAAACCCTTTGATGAAGATTTTCATGCTCAGACAGACTCCTATGGATACTGTGATGAACAATCCAATCATACATATTGCAGGGTCATGGCAAAATTAATTGCTCCCAGCAGAATTTGATTGGAAGGAGACAAGCCCAGAACTGCAAATCATGCATTTCCACATTGCAAATTAGTTTGCAGTCTCCTTTGGAGATGGGTGTTTCAGGTTCTGAGGCATCTTTCACTATTTCATTAAGTCACTTTTCCTGTTAGCTCAGGCTGTACTCTAGAAGCTTTCCTGTTCTGCAAGCGAAGGAGCTTAAAGAGTAGCGAAAAGGGTTGGTATCTGTGTAAAAGGGGAAGGACCATCAAACCAAATGTAAAACTGTAATCCAAAGGAGGATTTGGATTACACTAAAAAGGAAGTTCCACAAACTCAGCGGGACTTGCTACTGGGTACATGCAAGTAAGATTGCGGTGCACAGATATTTATTTATTTATTTAAATTATTTTATTTAAAGTGTTTATATGTCGTCCTCTTGCTACATAGCCTCGGGACGGCTCACAGAAATAAATAAATAAATAAATAAAGTGGTCACAAGTCAAAACATTTTCAGGTGCCTCTTATTGAATAACAGCTACTCCTTTTGCAATGTGGTTTCTTAATTCTCACATATCCGGCTTAAATTTATTAAATGCATTGAATTTAAATTCATTAGAGCACTGAACTGGCAACTGGGGGAGCCCCTCTGTGCAGACCTCTCATAACAAACAGTAGAAGAGATACGATTGCTGGCTCTCTAAACATGAAAACCTATTTCCATTCCTTCAGCATTTTGCATTTTCTGGCAGGCTTTCCCTTGTGTTGGTCGAAACCTAAAATGTTCCCTCAAAAACAGACACGCCATGTGAGATCTGCTACTAATGTTTATATACCATCTTCTTTTCTAAAAAGCCATCAAGGCAGTAGACAGAATTTTAAAATAATAGTATTTAAAACAAAGCAAAAACTGATATTAATCAGAGTCTGTCTGTGCCTTTCACTTCTATCTCAAAGTCAGCCACCCTCTTTTATCATTGCAGCTGTACCTTTTCCATTTTTAGGAAATAAATTTTATTTATGAAAACATTTATAGGTCACTGTACAGGACAAAAAAGCCTTCCAAGATTGTTCACAGAAAGTATAAACAAAATAATATAGAGCTATAAAATGCATTTTGCTGAAAGAATAGCATAAAAATCATTCATTCGTGTCATACCTGAGAGGCAAATAAAGAAAAAATGACTGTGAAAGTCACCGCTTGCAAAATGTTGAGCAACATCAGTATTTTATGAGAAGCAGATCGGAACATCCAGAATTTAGGGTAGCACAGTCGCATTGCCCTTGGGGCTGATGCTTGTCAGCTTCCCCTGTTCTGCCAAAATGTGCACCTTGCATTTTATCTCAAAGGCCACTTTAAGTGTCCCGATTTAGAGTTGGTGAGGGGGAGAGGAGGCTGGGGCGCCGATGGAACTGGAACGGTGCGACTCTCTGCCCCTCAGCACATGCCCATTATTTATTTGTTTGTTTGTTTATTAAAACATTTTTATGCCGCCCCATTCGCCGAAGCCTCGGGGCGGCTTACAACAATTATTCCCACTGAGGCATAGCTGCAGCCTGAGGGGAGGCCACTAGCATAGATAGAAGCATGCAGTTGGAAGGGGCCTAGCAGGCAACCGGTTCCCACTGCTGGCTGAATGTAAGCCTCAAGTCACCCATCCGCATCTCAACCCAGCCCACCCGTCTGGTTTCCAAACAGGTTAGGCAGGACCAGGCAGCACCTGTGTTTGTTTGACTGTTTTTTCCTGAATGCAGTTGCAAAAGGATTGGGTTTGGGACCTGGCTTTGGAGTCTGAGCACTAAGGTCACTAATCCTGTGGTCTGTCTGACCATGTCAGAAAAGCATGAGATTGAACACTCAGACTTGCTTAAAAACTGTGGAGTCAAGCACTCCTTCCACTGAAGGATATTCCATAATAATGGCATCTCTACAGAAAAGGCCCTGTCTCTTGGGCCTGCCCACCTGATGGACATGCATAGCCTAGCAAGTTTATACAAGTGCAGGCAGATATTTGAATAATGTAGTCTCAAGCTGTTCAGGCCCATTTAGTGCTTTAAAGGTAATGACTAGGACTTCAGGTTAGGCCTAGAAATGCACTCACCACTAGCACAAAACTGGTATTATTTGCTCTGATAGCCTATCCCCCACAAGAATTTGGGCGGCTGCCTTCTGTGTTAGCTGAAGCTGCCATCAAGCACAGCAGGGGAAAAGACTCAATCCCTCCTAGAAGAAAAGGGACCACAAAACAAGGAACAACCAGGTGGCATAGGTTAAGGTCTGGAAGCATCAAGGAATACTTTGCTAAAGAAGTGCATCTTGGGAGGATGCACAAAGAGGTGGGTACTAGCCCTAAAAAAGGCAGGAGAAGTGTGTAGAGACACAGGGGCCAAAGAGGAGAAGCTCTGGGGATGGGATGAAGTAGGAATAGGATTCAAAGGGACAGAATGACGGACGCTTGTGTATAATGGAAAGGACAAGAAAGGAACTTAAGGTTTAAGGTACAAGAAAATAGGACAGTGATGCAGAGGGTTTTAAAGATAAGTTTGTGGAATGATGACGACCAGTCCAAAGAATTAAGGAGATGAGGGAGGAGATTGCTGTAGCCTTCCCAACCTGGTGCTCTTCAGATACTGGACTTGAGCTCCCAGGATCCCCAGAAAGCATGGTCAATGGTCAGGAATTCTGGGGGTTCTAGTCAAAAACATCTGAAGATCACCAAATTAGGGTGAGTTAAGGGAATACCAGATGAATGGTGTAGTGTTTTAGTCACAGAAAGTAAACGGGTGTGACTCAGAGGTGCTGGAAACAAGCGCCAGAATTGGTTTGGATTAAGGAGGTAAAGGAAGCAGTCAAATGTATCAAGACGATCGTAAGGCTCCTTGATGACAAAAGTTTTCTTCCATTGTTGGCCACTTCCATTATTTCTTCCATGTAACTTCCATGCCAAAATGTGCATACTGCATCCACAGTCTCCACTGCACCTGCAGGATAGTTGAAGCACCTACCAACCAATTTTTCTACCTATATGGAATGATTCCTCATAGGTTTACATAGAAGTTCTTCACTCCCTATCAAACATGGCTGGAAGGGATGCAAAGCATAACCCCACCAGGGACTCACGGAGCCTCAGGGTCCATTGCAAGCAGTGACCTTAGCCCCACCCCTCGGTAATTTTTGGCAGGAAGGCTTTTCTCACCCTGTACAAATGAATGACACCCCCCCTTACCCCCACTGCCTCCAGTTGCACAGGGTTGAAGAGAAAGGAGACCCTGGGGAGAGCAACATATGTGCACACGCGAGATGGAGTGCACACAGCAGCCAGCAAGGAATTCACGAAGGAAAGAACTGAGCTTTTACCCACGCATAAATTAAAAACATTAGAGATAATAATTGGTGAATGGTCAGGGCTAGAAAAGTAGATAGTTGTAACAAAATGCAGAGAAATTCTGCTTATGAAGACAAAAATAAGGTGATCAAGGGACAAAGTCCCTTGTGGATTCTACAAGGATAAAGA